TATATATATATATATATACTTCCATTATTGAGATATGCCTCCAACCACACAGGGTTTTACGCCATCTTTGCCTTTCCATTATCCAGCACTGCCCCTGTCCCTGCTGTTCGCTTCTTTGGTGTCAAGTAGGAATTCACAAACATCACTGAGAAGAGATATAGATAACTCACATACATGAGAAATCCCATACGAGCACTGGATTTGGATACATGACACCTCTGCCCACTCTCTGCTTCTGCTGGGATTAGATATACACTGTAAAGAGAATACCCAGTTACTCCTGTTCCCACCACCATTTGTAAAATTTGCATCATTGTGATAAGTGGGGCAACTTTACGCATTGTCTTTTTAAATCCACATGCACACATGGCAAAGTAAAAGTACATAATGAAATGAACGGTTAAATTCATAGCAGCAAAGATAATCATTGTACTGACTCCATCATAATACGTATGCCAAGAGAAAACTAATACCGTAACATGATGATACCAATGAAGAAATGGAGGTTGTTTCCCTTGTAAAATTAATAATATCGTATCCACCAATTCCGGTACCTTTGAAAGGACAAACATACCAATCCAAAAACCAACATAAGAAGAATAAATCATATTATCATTCTTATCACAAATGGCATGCATAAATCCTTTATGATAGGCATTCTGAACTAATGCTGGGACCACCACAATCATACCAAAAAAGGAAAATGAGGAAAGAATGAAATTCCACACAATAAAGAGAAATGTTAATAATGGTGAGGAACTGATCCGCATGGATTCCCCATTCAATCGCCGGACCAATGCGGGTCCTTTCCATACAAAGGCAAGATAGATAAAACTGAGATATCCAAGAATATCCACATTGTCTATCATGAGTTGACGAACGGCATAGCCATCATAGCTCTCAACATATGGGAACATCTCTGATGATTGTGTATACACTCGGTGTGGATTCCTTATTTATTTATTTATTTATCTTATTTTTTTTCTCTTCTTTTCCTTTTTCCTTTTTTTTTTCTGTATTCTTCCCTATTTTAAGTATGATGGGGGGTTGGTTGGTGAATTTCTTTTTTTTTGGGGGGTTTTCCATTAATGAAGAAAGAATAGGAGAAAAGAAAAGGAAAGAAGAAAAGAAATCATTATATACATATAGGCATTATAAACACATTTTCTTTTTGCAAATAAAGTATCTTTTAATTTTAATTTTATTTCTTTATATATATATATATATATATATATATATACTCAATAGAAAGGAGAGAAACCAACAACAACAACAACAATAACAACAACACCTTCTCTTCCTTCTCCTCCCTCTTCTTTTATTATTATTAGTATTATTTCCCCTAGTTTAAAGAACTATGTAATAGATCTATGCAGAGAGAACTACTCATGCATTCTTGGGAAACACGAATTAAATGAAAAAGAAGAAGGAAAGAATATATATATATATATATATAT